ACATGTGATGAACTGACCATAACCCCCATGGCCCATCTCCCTACACCGCTGGGGGGGAGGAGGCAGAGCTTGACAAGGAGGGAGGGGTGAGGGGAAGGTTTCTTTTTTAAGACTTATTTTACTTCTCATTATCCTGCTCTGATTTTGTTGGCAATAAATTCAATTAATATCCCCAAGCTGAGTCTGTTTTGCCCATGACAGTAACTGGTGAGTGATGTCTCCCGGTCCTTATCTCAGCTCATGAACCTTTCACTATATTTTCTCTTCCTCATCCACTTGTGTAGGGGAGTGATAGAACGGCTTTGGTGGATGCCTGGCATCCAGTGAGGGTAAAACCACTACAAAAGTATTATCCAGTATGATCTCTTAGGCAATGAGACTGACTCTGTAGTCTTAAGGAATTGACAGTACGGCAAGTTTTCAGGGATACACTTCTATCTGAGGATGTGAAGCTGCAAACACATGACCCCGGTCTTCAGAAGCACTAGCCAGCCACTGTCTCAAAAATTAAAAAAACAACTCTAAACACATAGACACTTGCAACATCTCTGCAGGGTAAAGTATTTCGGAAAGAAACTTTGGTTTACTTATGCAGTCACTGCAATTCCTCAGTGGTTTTTTTATGCACAGAGAATGTCCTTCTGCCTAATCTTCCTCCATTCCTCAAACTAGCCTTTTCACTCTGCCTGTGCAGATGGAGTGGGCGAGGAAGCAATCAGCTGTCAGACTTAGGTCAGTCCAAATATTCTTCATGTTCTTGTGGTGCTTCTCTAAAAGTCCTTTCAATACGTACAAGACAAAGAGAAGTAGAGGGTTTCAATATAACACTAACAAGACAAGAAACCCCACAAAACCAATACTCTAGCATTTTAACTTAAGTTCTTTGGTTTTAATTGTCATTTATGGGGCAGTCTTAGGTCAAATGAGCCAACATTAAAATAACTAAGTCATTGCCCTAAACAAGACACCTGTTTCTCCAATGATCCTTTCCTAGATAGGTTTCAGCCACAAGCTTGAAAGAAAAGTCTCATTATAAAGAAAGAGGATACATAATGTAGTGACAATGACCGAACAAATTCCTGCAGATGGCAATGCAAGTTTTGCATAATTAAAGTCTGTTTGAGACCCTGTGTAGCATGATGGAGAGTAATTCTTATTGCTTTCAACAGCAGAAAAGCCACAATGCAAAACACTGCAAGTATTACAGACTGTTGGTACATTTCACATCTGTTGCAGGGCAAAGTTTATCTCATCTTTCAAACAGCCAGATACTTGAAGACTGGGAAAAAAGATAAAATCTCCTGCCTATTCAGTCAAATTCCCAATGACACTACTGATGTCACTGACATGACTAACAGGATCCTGAGTCCGACTTCAAAACTGTGATATTAGAAATACTATGACATCTCAGATTATTCATACATTTCTGATACTACCACACTTGGTATATGATACACTTTACACATTCATTCAGCATGATTCCGAATCAGACACAATTTTAAGCTGCTTTATACATCAAATTTGGATTATCTGAATCATCTTCCCAACTAACACAGGCAGCATGGACATCTCAGCAAAGGGACAAAGGCCCACTGACAGTGTTTAGCCCATCAGGGACATTTGGACACTTCAGGAAGTAAGTAAAGTTGCTGCTAGTTTTGTGCCTAAGAGACTTCGGTGGCTCTCAAAAACCCCACAAAGAATCTGGCTTTTGCTGCAGACACCTAAGGACTTTGGTAGCATAATGGAAACATCTCCTTAATGCTTACTGCTTTTACATAAATATATAAGCATGCATACTATACATTAATATACTGTAAGTGACATATCCCACCTAGATTAATATGCAATAATAAAAATGCAATACCAAACAACTTGGAGTTTGATGACCCAAAATAACTGAAGAGCAAGACAGACTAAAAGCATTTGCATTATGAAGAGAAAAGGGGAGAAAGAAGTTTGAAATTCCCCAACCCAAGAGATAATGAAGAATGTATCTTTATTTAAAATTGATTGAACCTGAACATACCAATACCTATTCCCCTTCTTGTCAATTAAAAAGTGATTTTTTAGTATTAAAGACTAAGTATGTTACTAAGCCACCAGATTCACAGCTCATCATTACTCCTTTACCAACTTTAAATTTTTTTCTGACATTCTAGTCTACCACATTTTAAAGATTTTCTGAATATCCACTAATTTTTAAATAAAAAAAATAAAAAAAGACAAATAAAAAAAAAGCTGTATCATCCATACAGCTCTTACTTGTTTGAAATTGTAGATTTCTCCATTGTAACACAGCCACAGATACGGGAATTTCTTCACCCGGATAGGCTGCATACCATATAACTGATCAACAACTGCAAGGCGGTGGAAACCAAAACAACAGTTGGTGAAACCATTGACGTTCTCAAAACGAAATGCATCAGGACCTCTGTGTGCTATCTTCATGGCACTGAGACACTGGACAGAAAGGCATTCATCGCTCCCAAACAGGGCCCAGATCCCGCACATTGTGAGGCTGTTGTTGTACGCGCAAGTGGAGAACCTGTTCAATAAAGATACGAACATTACAAGCAAGAGCTGACAATATTGAGTCTGGTTGAGAGGGAGCTCATTTTTCCCTCAGCAGCCCCTCACAGTGCTGTGTTTTGTACTGGTAGCTAGCGAGGTGATAATATCACATCACGGTTTTGGCTACTGCTGAGAAGTGCTCCCACAGCATAGGTGCTCTCCAATTCCCCCCTCACCAGCAGGCTGGAGGCAGGCAAGATGTTGCCTGATCATAGCCAGGCAACACACCCAGGACAGCTGACACAAATGGTCCAAAGGGATATTCCTTTTCATATGATGTCTGCTCAGATAAAAAAAATCTAAGGGAAAGGAGAAGGAAGGGGGGCATTTGTTATTTATGATGTTTCCCCTCTAGAGCAATCACTGTGTGTGCTGAAGCCTTGCTTCTCAGGAAGTGGCCAGATGTCACTTGCTGATTGGAAGGAGAGAATAAAATCTTTGGGTTTTTTCTTCTGCTTGCTTATGACCTTCACTTTTGCTTTAGTAAGCTGCCTTTATCTCAACCCATGAGGTTGTGTTGGGTTTTTTTCATCATATTTTCTTCCCCCACCCACCCCACTCTGCTGAAGAAGGGAGTGATAGAGCGGCTTGGTGAGCACCTGGCATCCAGCCAAGGTCAACCCACTACATACCTACAAAACACAGATAACAAATGTAGGTTATTAATCACTTAACTGCCAAGAAGACTGATCAAGAGAATAGCAGACTTTACTAAGTAAAACCTGGCTTGCCCGGAGTATGATAAACAAACTTTGGACAGCAAGAAATTAGGTTTAATTTTTACTTTTAGATACAGCAAGGTTGTCTGTGATTTGTTTCATAGAGCACAAACAGAACGAGTTATTACTGGGAATATAGTATGATCTCTTGAAGTAACATCATCTCAGCAGAAACATTAATGGTCCTTTCAATTTCTTGCCTTTACATACAAAGGGGGTTTATAACAAAGACAGATGCTCTTTAGCAAGACCCACAGTGACAGGACAAGGGGGAATGGTTTCAACCCAAAAGAGAATGGGTTTAGACTGGAGTTCCCGAGCAGCGTGGTAGCCCCAGATGGGAAAGATGCGAAGGGAGCAATTGTTGTTGCAGTGCCGTGCTCGCCCTGGCACGCCTTCTGCAGCCCCAGTGTCCCTGGAGATATACACAGGCCTCATAGCTCTCTGAGTAACATTAGAGGTCTCTAATAGTACAGGTGGGCTGCAGCTGGGGACCTCCAGATCAAGTGATGTTGCTGGGGACCTCAACCCGAAAGGGCCATTAGGATTAGGGTTCAGAGAGCCACAAAGCCTACAGCTCCCGGGACTCCGGGGCTGTAAAAGGCGTGCCAATGCGAGCACGGCATTGCCACACTGTTCCCTCCCTCCACATCTTTCCCATCTGGACAAGTGATGGCGCTCCGCACCTCACCCTCAGCACATGGAGTTAGGCTCTCCCACCAGCTGGAGCGTCCTCCCGGGAACGCACGGTCTCCGTGCGACCGCGGGTACCGAGAGCAGGTTCCCTCGGCGCACGCTGCTGTCACGGGCTCCCTGGGCACGGCCACCCCTCCCTCCGGCGGCTGCCGCTCTCCGGGCCCGCCGGCCCCGCCAGCCGGGCCCCGCGGCCGCAGCTCTGCTCGGCCCGCGATCCTGGGGGCGGCGGCCCCCGGCCGGCCCTGCCCGGCACAGCCCCGCGGCCCGGTGCCTTACCCGCTCCGCTGCCTCACCCGCTCCGCTGCCTCACCCGCTCCCGGCCGCCGGCGCACGGAAAGCCGCCGTCCGCACCGCGCCGGGGGATGGAAGAGGCGGCTCCCGCCGGCTCCTCCCCCGCCGCCAGCTGCTGTTGAAACACGCCGCGAAGTTTCATCATGTGCCTCCCTGCCCCGCCCTTCCGCCCTTTTCCTGCCCGCAGGGCCGGAGAAGCGGGCGGCCGGGCCCGCATGCACATCTGCACTGACACCCGCATCTGTATCCCTATCCGCATCTGTATCCCTATCCCTATCCGCATCCGCACCCGCACAGCGGCCCTTCCTGGCGGCCCCGGCTCGAGCTGCCCCGCAGCAGGGCAGGAGCTCGCAGGCCGAGCAGTCCTGGCTCTGGCTCCTTCCCCGGAGCGCTGTGAAGAAAAGCGTGCACCAGCAGCGCTGCTGGGCGTCGCTGGGCTCATGAGGGCGACTCGCAGCCATCAGAAATCCTGTCTCGTGTGGCTTGTGTGGTGTCCAGTGCAAAGAGCTAGACACCTGCATTGCCTTAAAACTGCTTCATTTGGTTTGGGAGAGGGAGTGCGTGCAAAGCTCGCACCTTTGGAAGCGTTTGCTGAGGATGTATGATTTTGCTGTGCAAAACTCAGTTCTGAATCATAGACACAATGGGTAAAATACGATTTTGGTACTTACTTGAACTCCATTATTGGACAGTTTTGCCTGTTTGCCTTTGAGAGTGCTAAAGTAAATGCAATTCAACTCTGAAGACTAGTATGTGAAGTGCTAAATATAACCCCTAATTCTCCATGCATACTTCAAGAGCCATTAGTAATTTGCATGCATATGCTTTCATAGCTAGTTTTAATGCACTTACTGTAAAACTGCAGTGCTGTGCATAAAGTTCTTCAGGTCATGCAGACTCTCAGCAGTAAGTGTGGTCTGGGTGTAGAATTTTAAAAGGACTTTTAAGAAGCCATTAAAAGGATATTTTTAGGCTTTAGAAAGAAAAATGTGTTGAGGTGTCCTGTGCATGAGAAGTAGACTCCAGTGCTGATCAGGAATAGATGTAGGATAGTTGTGTTTGGTACAGCCACACCTGAACACAGGTCTGGCCTTGGCAGAGGCTGTATGTGCAATTCTCAGAGCTGTGCACTGCCTGGAAGATGGAGTCACTGTGCATAGAAGAGTAATGGTTGTGCTGGAGAACACTTTATATCTTAGTGTTCTGATTTTTTTTTCCCGTGTAACTAATTGTCACTCTGCATTTTGAAAAGATACAAGAAATACTCAACAAACATTGTATTATCCTAGGTTGTATTTAGGGTGTTTGCTTGTTTGCCAGAGACTTTTGTAAATTGCTATTTACATCTTTACTTCTTTTCTCTGCACAGGAAAGATTTTTGGATGGGTCAGATTAGGTTTAAGTTGTTGCCTGAGCATTTTCATTCAATGAACAAGTTCTAGTTCATAACTAGATCTCATATAGTGCTTTATGATAGTAAGTCACAAAACATTTGCTAAAATAAGAATATTTTCATGGAGAAACTGAAGCAGGGAAGTGAGAAGCAACTTGCAGAAAGTGGTCCAGTAAGGCTGGGCAGATACAGCCAGGGAAAGAGCAAAACCTCCCAAGTCCTCATTAATGTCTGCATCATTAGGGCACATTGGATACCAGTCACATCTTTATCCTCCCCTTTATCCTCCTCCTTCTAAAAACTGGGGATAGCTGCGTTTCACTATGTCTTACATGTTAAATTCCCTATTTTAATGGCGTTAATGGGACTAATGGTAGAAATGCTACATATGATTTGTTTTTAAACTCTGGCAATATTACTGTTTTGTAGTTACAATGGTACAAGTAATAACTGGTATTTCCCTGGCCTTTTCTGGCCTTTTCTCTACTATTGTCAAGTAGCCCATTATAGTCTGTTTACATTGTGTTGTTCTTCAATATCCAATCTTTTTTTTCCAGCATATCTGCAGACAGCACTAGATGTAATTACACCCCAGTCTCACACCTCTGTTCTTCTCAAGTCACATGAGAAACCCTCTGGGTTTTTTCATTCCTTGCAGACATTACTATGTGTAATAGCTTTACTGAAGCATTGTCTTCTCCACTCTTCTCCTTTAAAGCTGATTTTTTTCCTCTATTTTTGTTGAGAGGAATTTAAATTGATACCAGATGGGTGGAGAGAACAGGTTTGAATGTAAATGTTGGGTGCCATTAGTAGCTAGGAGACTTTGCACTCATGATATCATTTGTTTAGTATCTGAGAGTAACCACTTGGCTACAGACTAAAACCGTTTAAGAATGGCTGAAAAACACTGTAAGAAAGTTCCTGATTAATTAGTTAAAAAATGCTTGCATTAGTTTTGTTTCTAATCAGCCGAAATGAAATACTAAGAGGTTTCTCTGCAGGCAACAGGTAAATGAGTAAATGCAAGGTCCATTATGTAGAACGAATGTGCAGCCTCATGACTTACACTGAGCTTTTCACTGTCAGCTCAGTTCTCAGTTGAACATTGCTCATTAATGAAATCTGTGCTCCTCATTTTTTCCCAGTAAATATACACATCTTTGCTGCATCTGTTGGATATGGTGCCATCAACATGCCTGGAAGACTGGAAATACGTGAGTTTTGTGAGATTGGTGAAATCTGTTTGAAGAGGAGACAGAGCTGAAGGGGAAGTGGAGAAGTCAGACACTGTGATTAGGAGAGACATAGGGTGAAGGTCTCCTGCTTTCACTGTGGTTAACAGAGAGTAGCCTCCTGATGGTAATCCTCATGATTTCTGGCTTTTTGCCTGAGAGAACACATTTCAGCTGTTTTTGTGTTGGTGGCTCTCCCAGCTCTCTGTTCTCATCCTTTGCTCTCACTGGAGCTGTGCAAGAAAACAAGATCTGAATTAAAAACAGTGGGCAGACTCAAATATGAGTGAAAGACTTTCCCTTTTCTGACAGCATCCAATACATATTCTCTGCAGTTTCTTAGGTAGGAATTGAAGACCTTTTGTTGATGGTCAAGGTTATCACAAGTGGATTCATAGGTCAGGTCATTATGATGGGCAGGACTGTAAAACATCAGAAATTCTATTGGTATGCATCAGCTCAGCCTTGTACCAGTCCTTTACACATAAATTACTAGTAAGCAGCAGTGGAACGCAGGCATTCTCCACCCTACCAAACCATCTATGTAGTCAGGGACTGTTTAAGATGCTTCATCACCAACAATTTGAGAGATAAAAAAGACAATGCTGAAAGAATTTCTATTTTTGAAAAATAGAAATTGAAGATTGTGGTTTTGGGAAGGAGAAGGATGTATCTTGTCTACAATCTTAGGACTCCCTTTGCATCCAGAATCTAGTTTTAGCTTGAACCAACTACTTGGACCAGATGCACTCTCCATCTGGCCTTGAACACATTGCAGTAGCAAGACTTGGCTTTTTCTTCTCCAATCCTAACTTGTGTAATAATGGAGTTGTGGGAATAGGCAATTCCAAGTTTCCGGATACCTCAAACTATACTTTTCGCAGCTCTCAGTGACTGAATGTTGATGACGTGAGCTGGGCAAAGATCACCAAGAATCCTGTATTTTCCCATCTGAATTTTTTCCTTGATATGTTTGCTACACAAAACTTTGCCACACATTGTTACAGGCCTAACTGAATGGCATGTGGTACTATTAGTTTGCTCGTGATTGTCAGCATCTACAATTTTTCTTTGGTGTTGAAGTCTCTGTACTTTGTGTATTTATATCTGTTCCTGAATGTGCTGTAATAAGAATCTAATGCCATTCTTGGTGCAGGGAGTTAGTGTATGGTTTCATTTCCACCAGGAAAGAGTGATTTTAGACAGGTATTGCTACATGATCCAGCATTGTAGCAATAACAGAAAATGAAGTGGCAAATGCTCTTTCTGGAAGCAGCCTAGTCTATTTTCTCTGACAGGGACTGAGCTTGAAAGCAGAAGGTTGTTTCTCTTAATGGAGCCACACAGAAACATCCATATACCATGGCAGCATTTGCAGCCTGTTATACACTGGGACAGATCAGTGGTGGGCAGGACTTAGGGGAAGGTGGAGATCAGTTCCTCCTCCCCAGTCTCATGGGTTGATATAAATAGCATAACTCATACCCTGGCTGTCTTTCAAATATAAAGGCTTATTGGATACTTGTACATTCACCAGGCAATAACTGTAGTGCCACGTGTTCTGGCAACACATCTGACATCTGAAACGTGTTTGCATGTCAAGGACATGTGTATGCAGAGAGCAAAGATCTTTGCCTATATTGGTTTTCTGTCCCCAGGAGACTAGTAACACTATGTGCTCTTAAAGTTTGAGAGCTTGCACTCAAAATCTCAGGCAGAACCCTACTTTAATTTCTGTATCTTAGTGGAGAAAAAAAAAAAAAAGAAAAGACAAACTGTCAAATTCAAAAGCTGTTTGAAGATCTGTAGTTTGAAGTAAGGTAGGCTCCCATTTGTATCACTTAGTCTGGCTTTTACCCAGTGGAATACACCACATGCCAGAGAGCTTGCAGCTTTTAAATAACTTATCAACCTAACAGAGCTATTTGTTCCAATAGTTTGAATATATTTATTTTTCCTTTTTTTTTTTCTTCTCTGTTCTTTTCTCTTCCTTTTGAAGACATTTAAAGGACATGCAGTCTACTTGTCTCTCCTCCAGACAAAATCTTTTCTCTCATAGTACAAAAAGTACTTGTCTCTCCCACTGGGAGTTCCTATTGCTATAGTCTCTCTTATTTAATCCTTTTTCTTTCCTTTCTGCTTAATTATGTTAAGCTTCAAAACAAATAAGACTTGCTCTGACCCTGGAGTTAAAGGTCACAGTGCTATTGAAGTGTTAAAAGAAAATCTTTTCTAGAGCCCAGGCATTCAGGACTTCAGTAAAGTACTAGGAAGACATGTCTAGTGTAGCAGCAAGAGAGAACACAAAGTGAGGTGATTTGTTATTGCCTGCACAAAAGACTAAGCATTTTTTCCCTACAGCCGCATCCTTTTTTTAACATCCCAGCCCTTCCATTATCCCTCATGTTTCTTAGCACAGACAAGAAAGGGTTGTTGAAAGAGCTGTTGGCCATACAGTGCACATGGCAGGCACGGCATATGGCATACCAATGGCTCTATTGTTGGAAGGCCCAGGACCACAGAGGAATGAAACATTGCTGACTTTAACTCAATAGTGGTCTTGGCTAATGAGAAGGAATCCAGTGTAATTTATTCTCCTCCTGGGGAGGAGGAGAGGGAAACAAACCACAAAACCAAAGCACTATACGTATGCTTTTTTAACCACTTACAGATTAAGAAAGAAAAATTAGCTGTCTGATATTGACTCTGCAACATAAAACAGCATAATTCTCTAGAGTTTTAGAACCATAATAGTAGAACTAATTTAAATTCTGGTTCTTTCATATACAGTGGTAAAGATTGGGTGTCAGCTGAATTAGCATTTAAAGTAACTCTTGTAGTCAATACTAAAATCTTCAGATCACTTTTACATTGTAATTAGCCCATTGTGAGATTTTGCCCTGTTCAATAGATGTTTTGTTTAATACAAACAAGATTTATTTTCACCTAGAATACAGATAAATTCAGCTGTAAGAGACATAGTTTGCTGGTATAAAGCTGTAACAGCTAAATTCATGCTTGAATATATATAACTGAGTTTTAAAATATACTAAAATGTATTTTTTCAGCTGGAATAAATGGACATAATTCTAATAAAGTTATTTTGACACCCTCAGTTGTCTGCTTTAATCTTTTAAAGCACTGTATTTAATTTTGTGATTTGTGTCTGGAGGACATAAAAAGTGTTTGGTAAAATGTGCTAAAAAGGAACCTATATGCTCTCTTAAATAAAATTAAGAACAATAGAGAATGAATAATAACAGTTATTGAGCACTGCATGAGAATTATTTTTAAAGAAAGTTAGACAGTCTTTGGTTTATAAAAGATTGAGGAACTATTCTAATACATATGACTGTAGCAGCTCTTTCTCATCACTAGGTCGAGCTATTACCTCAAAATGAGAAACTGTCACCCTGCTAGTACTGTTGTTACCAGAAATAGAGGTGTAGAACAAATGCAACAAAGGTCTGCAATGAAATAACTAGATTGGCAAATGTAACACTGCAGTGTGGAAAATAAAAAACTACACTACCACACGTACTAAGCCAATTACTTCTGTAAAGAAAAAAACTAATAATGAAAGAAATTTCTCCCCATTTTCTCATACAAGTACACACTAAAATAGAGCTCACTTCACAGTATGTCTTAGCAATTTTGTTAAATCCAGCAGCTTTGAACCCTTCAAATGTTATATAATTATTACAGCTACTTACTCTCCTTTTTTCCTAGGAATTAATTCTGAATTCTGTAGAGGTAAAACGCCTGTTGTTGTTCCTGTTATCATATAAACAGTAAAATCAAGTGTCTCTCCTCCCATTTCTTCCGTAACTAGAAACTAACAACAGATTTCCTAACAATAGCTTTGTTTCTTTACATATAAAAAGAAGAAAGAGAATTCTTCCTGATTCAAAAATAGAAAACCAAAAAAGAGAAGAAAACCAATTCTAAAGGAACTCAAAATGCAGTACCAATTAGAAAGGATTAAAAGAATTAAACAGTGGATGATTGCAAAGAAGGAGAGTTAGTTCTTACAAAACAATATCTCATCTCTTATCGCAGATGCCAGGTAATAATGTGGTTTCCGGTACTAATTCCAATATTTTTATTAAGCTTTCTTTTTTACCAAAGAAAAGAAACACAAGCCAACAAAAATCTATCAACTCTCACAGAAATGCAGTTATATAAGACTGATACCTTATAGCAGCACTACTTGAAGTCCTTGTTCACTACAACCCTCTGAACCTCTTTGCTTTTGACAGGTACCAGACAGGCAAATAAAATAATCTAACTGCAAGGGTTGGCTACGCCTTGATCTGTTTTGAAATATCTCTCTCTTATCAGAGTTTTTATTATTAGGAAATATATTATTTTATTGCTATTGTAGGATTTGGCAGAGAAAATATTTGCACTTGCCCTAGCTAACTTTTAAGTTGCATGCATATGTAAAATAAACGGAAATATACTTATCTATACAGAAATATATCAGTAATAAGAATAAAGAAAGATGCATTTTTCTAAAGTGCTTAAACAAGGTTTTGTGAGGCTATTTCTACAAATAAATCAGGGTGAGAAAGTAAATTCAGGTATGGGAGCCTGACTATTAGCACACTGATTAGTGGGATTTATGTCCCTGCTAAGTAGCATTCCTTGAGAAAATGCCTGGGCAAGGTAATAGAGTAACACTTGCGAAGTGCTACTTCTAAGGAGAAATATGGACAGGGTTGACATTTTGGTCCATACACCATGCAGCCCTCAGGGGGAATCCCAGCAGACTTCGTAAGCTGTCAGTGCTCCTGCATGCCTTCCCATCACTTTTCACAGCACTGAAAGTGAGTGTAATTTTCTCAGTTTCATGATATGAAAATCTCATTTCGAGGGCTGCAACACAGCCCTCAACTTACTTTGAATGGTCCCGTGCATTGTTTCATCCATAGAAATACGGATGTAGCCCAGACAGTTCCGAAGTGGGTTTTGGGATAGGTCTATAAACAGGATAGAAACATTGTGACAAATGTTTTTCTTGCAGAATTTCCAGAATGACTGCCTAATACATTTTGTCTGATACTTCCCATCAAAATAAAAGACATTTATTTCAAACTTTTAAAAAATGTTATTTTAAATTTCACATTTTTTTAGCAAGATTCAGTAGTTAATTTCTTATTCTGCCATTCAAAATATATAACTGAATTTTTTGGCACACACTGAATATTGATCTGGAAGTTCACAATGGCTTGTTTTAAGACATTTGTTGCAAGCAGATCTGGTTAGCACAAACAGCAGCATAGAGATTGTACAATTCTAACTTCAGTAACGTGCATTATTCCACTATTGGCAGTTCCACTATTGTTTGTTCAAGAAATACAGTGAGTAATGTTCCGTATCATAACAAGATGTCAGACTGTCAGCCAGCTGGTGTTCTTACACATAAAAGAAAGGTGGGGTTATACACTCGTGGAATCCCAACAATCTGAGTTGGGAGGGACCCAAAAGGCTCATCAAGTCCAACTCTTAAGTGAATGGCCTGTACAGGGATCAAACCCACAATGGTGTTATTTGCACCATGGTGTAACCAACCGAGCTAGTCTCAGGGTTTATTATGTTATATTATACCATATTTCACACAGTAATCAGATCATGGTAAATAATTTTTACAGCTCCATATGTGGTTCTAACTGCTCCAGGAAATCACAGCACTTTCCTAAATATTTTTGTTCTGTTCTAGGAATTAGGGTAGGTACGTGTAACATGATCTTTATAATTTGATCCAGGTCCAGTGTGCCTTCAATTTGTGGGTTCACGAGTGGGCACAGAATGAGTAATAGGTTCTTCAGAGAAGAATGGCCTTACTAAATGTGAATGGTCAAGTTAGTGAGGTTTGGGGTTTTTTTAAAAATAATATTAAGCAAATAAGGTATTCAATTTAATCTGGTTGTCTGATCAAATAGGAGTGAACAGAGAAGACGAAAGTAGCTTTCAGTCAAAATACATGGAAATTACTCATATAATATTTTCATGGTCTTGCTGATGATCCATAAAAGCAATGGCATAAACAGACTCAATATAAGACCATTTATAATTAAACAAAGTGTTAAGAAAACAAAATGGTGTGTAGAATTTGATCTGGTAAAGCTGATTACTTATCACCCATTAGCTTGTAGAAAGCTAGCTACAGAAGGAAATCACAGTTTCACCGTAGATACTAGAAATCCAGTTAAATATTTAAATGTTATGTATGTAGTCAGTGACTTGCCAAATTGCAGAGCCCCACAGCAGCTGTTGCATTTTGCCTTCCACCTTAACTTTGTGTCAGCTTTCCTATTTAGAAACCTGTGTTCCCAGACTCCTGTGCATGGAAATGAGGAGAGTCGAGAGCAGTAGCTGATCTGTGAGTGGGCTTTTATGGTTGGTCCATACTACAGAGTGCTCTCCAGAGGATGTAGATGTGAAAATGCCCAGACAACTATCTCATGAAGACCTACCTAGTGATGAGCAGAGGGATTAAGGGCCTGCTACCCTGCTTTTGCCCTGCCCCTTTTGGAATCATGCACAAAACAGTCTTTATGTTGAATATGGCTGGCCTTCCTAGGCAAAGACAGATCTCCTTCTTTTCTCTTTACTGATGTGAAGACCAAAGTGATTGATTTCCTTTTAAATTAAAATACTAGAAATTTAATTTCCCTCTCATTTGTTCTTAGCCACACATGCCAGAAGGTAATGATATGAATCTCCTTGACATATTATCATGATATGATTGTCCCCCACCTCTGCTGGGCATTCTCAGCACCTGAGGAGCCTCCTGTAGCAGTAGTGTATTTATATAGAAAGTAACTGTGGTCAAGCAGATCTGAATACCCTGCAAACAAGAGAGAGCACCAGGCCTGCTTCCCCTTTCTGCCCCAGACCAAGAATGGCTTTTCCCTCTACGTATCCACCCACAGGCAGTCTGTTATGCAAAGCAGTGCTGAACAGTAGAAGGTGTGGAATTGTTTGCTACCACTGCATATGCAGGACAGTCCCTTGCAGGGGCACATTTCCTTACTCTGAACTGTAAGAGATTGCTCACCTATCCCTCAGTGAAAAAAAACCCAAAACCAACCAAACAAAACCTGCTCGTATGTGTGGTATGTAAACATCTCCCTAAAATAATAAACAGCCATTACAACGTGGCCAAAAAAGTCACATTTTTTTAAAGCAAACTTTATGTACCAATATTAATAGGCAAGCTGTGAGAGACTTTTGTTAAATTACAATATATTCCACTTTCTCTCTTTGAAAATTTCCTTTCAAACTAGCCTAACAGAGACTGAAACAGCTCAATGAACACATCAGTATGAAAAAAGTGTAGCACTTCATGCCTAAATATATGTGTATGTAATATACATGGGATATAGTCCTTGAGAGTAGAGCTCCTGTGATGTAAGACCAGGCTTTAGAGTTCACCAAGCAAAATGGAAGTCATGCGTTCAACTCAGACATGCTGCATTATCTGTAGTATAAGACAGTTTGAAAACTTCACTTGATCTATTTCAGAAATTTAATGCATGCTCTGGAAATGGGATGGACAGTACTCGTATCAAAATGTGGTGGTGATGAAAAAAAGGGAAACAAGAAGACAGACTTTTTTGTTTGTTTGTTTCGCAGACTCTGTAATTTCCATTTGCAGAAACACTAGGGGCCTTCAGGAGGGACCAATTCTTGTTTGCACGTACCTGCACCCAGTACCCCCCCAAACAAACCACAAAACAAATACTCTCCCTATTAACTACAGAGATCCACCTACTACCCACTGTTAGCAAAAATTCTATCCTTCAGTTACATGGTAATGAAAAACACCTTTTAAATCTGCAATCCCTCTTATTTAAGAGATTTTTCTTACAGAAAGACACCGAGAGATAAACGTCAGAGCTGTTGGAAAGGTAGGCAGCGTTAGCACAGGGAGATAAGGAGCGATTGCAGAGGGCTCGGTATCCTAGCAACACCCCTTGCAGTTGCCTAATGGTATTTCGGAAAAGCAGCAGCTCCAGACCGGCTGAAGTGAGGGAATGAAGGGCTGGAGCGCAGCGGAGCTCCGCAGCCCGGCCCGAGCGCCTAGCACAGCCGCTCCCAGGCAGGCAAGAGCAAGGTAACGCGGTGGAAGGGCGGGCGGACAGTGCCCGGGGCATTTCCCTACTGACCGTGCCGGGCATGCACTGCTGCAGCGCCGCGCTGCTCACCGACCCCTGGGCGCCCCGGGGAAGGTGCCGCTCTGAGCTCCCCCGTTCCTCCCGCACCCTCCCCTTCCCCCGGCACGTTTTTCCCTCGCACTGCTCGAAGCTCTGACCGAGGCACAGAGCGTAGCAGCCGAGCTGCCCGCCGCTCTCACGCTGCGGCCCCGACTCGGGTCACCCGCCCTCGCCCATCGCCGCCGCCACGCCGGGGCCTCCCCGCACGGGAGGCGCCGCTCCTACTCGCGGCCCGGCCCGACGACGTGGCCGCACTGCCGGCGGACGAGAAGGAAGGGCGCATTCCCGTGCCCGCGGAGGGAGCAAAGGAAGGAAGGACACAGCCGGTGGCGGCCCGCGCGGTGCCACGCGGCAAAGCCGCCGCCGCGGCGGGAAAAGGGTTAAAAGCGCCCGTGCCGGGCCGGCCACGCCCCCCGGGCGCTCTCCGGCCAAGGAGCGGGCGGCGGGGCGGTGCCGCTCCTCCCCCCGCCCCGGGGGCGGGCCCGCAGCGCGGCGCGGGGCGGCCGCGGGATGGGGCGTCCGGCGATGGCACCGCCGGCGATGGCACCG